CATTTCGAACTGGGCTGATTTGATCAGTTAAATAAGGGGTGAATTCTGGGATTGGATTAGCAGATTGGATAGGGTCTTAACCCTATCCACTCAGAGAGTCCAGATCTGAATCGCATTCAGATCTGTAAACCTCCTAATGAGATTAGGAGAAGGCTGATCTAATCTGTAGATAAGATAAGGGTTCACCTTTATCACTTAAAGGGAATCCTAATCCCAAATATGATTTGGATCAGCAACTCCTAATAGTATTAGGAGCTGATCCCTTTCAGATTATAAAAGGAGGAGGGGGCGGCAGCCTTTATACACAAGTTCATCACCTGTCTTCAGAGCTGAAATCACTGAAGAGAGAATTCAGCACATCTGCGAAAATTCTCTCTTGCCGCCTCCTTCCTGCCACCACCTCACCTGTCAGTTCGATCTCCAGTTCAGTGGGAGAAGTCAAGATTGGATCTTGACATCAGTTCCTTGTGAAGGGACTGATAGGAAGTTGTGCTCACATGCCATCCTACTAATTCTTGCGAACGATTAGGTTCTTTGGAAGACCACTATTGATTCTGCTCCATCATGCACTGCGCCATCTTCAATGGGAGCAGTCTTTGGATCCTTCATTGGGCGTGAACACGTTCGTTGGGAGATATTATTTCTCCGTATCAGGTATATCCCTCTCCTACTGCTTTTGTTCAGATCTGGTTCAGTTTATGGTTCAAGATTGATTCTGGAAAAATATGATTTTTTCTAAAATAGGGAATTCGATTCCCAATAGGATGGAGAGAAATTTTTGAAATTCGCCCATTCTATTCCGCAAGATTCAGGCGTCCATACGATGGATATCTCATCCCTTCAATAGCTAGAGCAGAAAACATTTTTCGCAAGAGATTTAGGTCTCGTTTGATGATTAAGTACTTGTTAAAAGAAATAGTACTTGTTTTAACAACCCTTTAGGCTGTTTAGTAACCCACTTTTTCAAATCACTTATTATGTTTTTAAGTACTTATTGGGGTGGGAATGTTTGGTAAGCTACTTTCCCCATAAGTGCTTATATTTATTCAAATAATAATTTTAGCCCTCACTTCTCCCGTACATATATACAATACTTTTCAATAATAATAATAATAATAATAATAATAATGATAATAATAATAATAATAACAATAATAATAAAAATAATAATAATAATAATAATAACAATAACAATGATAATAATCATCATAAATTCATAATAATAATAAATAATAATAATAATAATAATAAGACGATGATCAGGGGGGAGGTTGTCACCACTACAACTCCCCTATTCTCCCTTTGAGCGACAGAGAGCGTCAACAACCTCTCCTTAGTCTTTCTCTACCTCTCTTTCTATCTCTCCTTTTCATTTTCTTCTCCTTTGTTTTTGTTCTTCTATAACCACTGAACCACGAACAATACACTATTCATCTTCCTCTCCAAAAGAGAACCAGCGGTGGCTGAACGTCTCTCTTTCGGTTCTTCAACAACCTATTTGTCAAGGACTAGTTCCTATTTCAGAGACACTATTCATCACCTGGTTCCTCTCCACGAACAAGACACTGTTCATCTATTTTAAATATCTGAGATCGAGCTACGAGCTATGTTTCAGATATCTAACTTCAAAACATAGAGGAAAGAGGCCAAACGACAGGTCTGTCGGCCACAGTTCCTCACCGCCAATTGTCGCCAGTGGATCTACAACTGGTGTGCCACTACTACTAGGGTTTGAGAGTCGAATGAGTGGAGGAGGAGGTATAACCTCATAGGGGTATTTTAGTCATTATGCAAATTTGTCATGGACTGGTTCGTTCTAATATTTTGGAGTACTTCAATAAGTATTTAAAAAAAACCAACTTGAAGTCACTTTTTCAAAGAAGTACTTAAAAAAATACTTTTACCCCACATTTTTACTAAATACCCATAAATATTTAAAAATCTAATGTGTGGTACTATATATTAAAGAAGTAATTATTAAAAGTAATAGGAGAAGGAAAAAGCGGTCGCAGTCACAAAGTTCAATTTTCTCGCGAGAGATTTATTAGGAGAGAAAGCGCAAAGATACGGGAAAGGCCCAACGCTCACCAAATTCAATTTTACAAGAAATCGCCGAGTTCAGGAGGACATTTTTGTCCGTGTCAAATAATTGGTACGGGGTAGAGCTGAAAGTAAATAGGTATTTATAAACCGAGATAAATGATTTCTGAGCTGAAAACAAATAGTTCGTACAAGAAGACAGTGGAATTAGATAACTGTGACAGCTGGCTACATCGGTAAAAACCCTTTTTTTTCTTTTCATTTGGATTTGGATGGCAGTGAGAAAATTCTACTAGAGGACAGTGGAATTAGATAACTGTCCACCGTCCAATAAATGATAATCAAGGGACCAAAAAGTCTTTTCAGATAATAAAAATAAAAGAAAGACATAAAACAGTAAACGGTATAGAGGTAAGAACTAGGCAAGCCCCATTGGAGATACTGTATTCTATTTAAGTAGAGTCCAGAGTCCAGTCCTCTCCATCATCCCCATCACTTTGTAGATCACTGAATTTCTACTCTGTTCTTTTATCCAAGAAATAACTGAAAGTGGTCTTCTTTTTCTTCTTCTCCTGCTCTTGTCTTCTTTTATCCATGAAGGAAATCATGGGCGGTGAAGTGCACGTAGTGATGCTCCCATATTTGGCCTTTGGCCACATGATCCCATTCTTCCATCTCTCCATTGCCTTGGCCAAATCTGGGATCCGAGTTTCCTTCGTATCAACTCCCAGAAACATCGATAGGCTCCCTAAACCACCTGTAAACCTATCAGCTCTTTTAGAATTTGTTCCGTTTCCCTTGCCCATCGTCCCCAACACCAATGGCGAGACCTTGCCTCCAAATGCTGAGGCCACCGTCGACGTTCCTGCAGACAAGGTACCACTCTTGGATGCCGCCTACAATCTCCTTCGTGACCCCTTCAAGCAATTCTTGTTTGACAAATCACCCCATTGGATCATCCAAGACTTTCTTGCTGACTGGACAATCGACATTGCCAAAGAATTCTGCATACCAATTATCGGGTTCTCCGTGTTCGCTGCTATAACCAACGCCTTTATTGGCCCGCCGGATTTCATGGTTGGAGATGCTCGTAAGAGCGTTCGACCAACCGCCGAGAGTCTGATGTCCCCACCCCCGTGGATCCGTTTTGAGTCTTCTCTTGGCCTCCCCTCCTACGAAGCTGTTAGCTTTTTCCATGGTTTTTTTGGGAAAGATGGTCCAGCAGAAAAGATAGCCACCGTTCTCCGTGAAAGCAAGGCCGTGGCCATACGTACTTGTCCGGATTTTGAATGTGGCTACTTCGACGTGCTGGAGACGATGTACGAAAAAGAAGTTATTCCAGTTGGATTATTATCTCCCACACCAAGTGATCATGGTGGTGACGAAGAGTGGATCAAAATTTTACACTGGCTTGATCAACAGAAACCCAAATCTGTGTTGTTTGTTGGGTTTGGAAGCGAGTGCAGACTGAGTAAAGAACAAATTGAGGAGATAGCTCGTGGGGTAGAGCTCTCCAATTTCTCATTTATCTGGGCACTTAGAAAATCTCACTGGGCAGGCAACGATGATGAAGTTCTACCTCAGGGATTCAGCAGCCGGACCTCCGGCCGAGGAATCGTTGGTATGGGATGGGCTCCACAACTGAAGATTCTAGCCCACCCTTCAATCAGGGGATCCCTGTTTCACTCGGGATGGGGTTCAGTCATAGAGACCCTACAGTATGTTCATCGCCTTGTCTTGTTGCCACTGATAATCGATCAAGGTATAAATGCAAAGCTGCTGGTGGAGAAGAATTTAGCGATTGAGGTAGAGATAAATGAAGATGGGTCGTTCAGCGGGGAGTCCATCGCCAAGGCATTGAAACGAGCGATGGCGTCTGAAGAAGGAGACGAAATGAGTCAGAGAGCGAAGGAAACTGCTGCAATAATCTGCAATCGTCTACGGGAAGCGGAATACATGAATAAGTTCGTGAAGTATCTCACAAATAACCATGAACGAGAGATCGCAGGGATAGAAAGCAGGAAATAAAATAGCGATTGTGTGTGTGTCTGTTGTTTGTATAAGATTTTCTTTTCTGTGTTGTTCACTTATCTTTGTGTCTGTTGTACGAGATTTTCTTTTCTTCGTGATTGTGTCTGTTTGGAACCCGGATTTCCTGCACTTCTCATTGAGGTGCTGTGCGTTGTGCGTAAACTTTGGGCAACTGACACAAAAGAAGGACTTGTCGAAACAGAGAAAGAGAACAGGTGAGAACCAATTTAATTACAGTCTCCAAAATCAAATCCTCATTCACACCATTGCGAGCTGCGAGCAACAGAAGAACCACGTGCTTCAACCGCGCAGGAACAAAAACCACGACGACTCTTTTTTTCTTGCAGTTGTCCTGTCTTGACTCTTGACCCAACCAAGAACTTCTCCATCCAAGTGGTTAATGTTGCTTTGAACATTTGTCAAAATAAAAAGAAATTCTAGCGGTTATGAAAACAGAGGAAAGCGGGAAGAAGAAAGGGGAAGGAGAATTTGGGGAGAGGAAGAGAAATGGTGAATTCGAGAAGATTAACAGTGTTTTTCTTCCAATTATCCGAATAATTATTACAAAGGTAGTATCAGAATTAAAAAATATTATAACAGCGGATTTTAATTTTAACGGGAAAGCTAATCGAAGGGGTCTTTGTCTTACAGTAATAGTACAAAAAGGTTTTTATCGCAAAACAAAGTATAAGGGGTCTTTGTTACAGACCCCATAGTACAGGGGATTTTTTTAATTTATCCAAAAAATATTATATATTATCAATAAATATATTAGAATAAAACATAAAAAATATTATATATTATCAATAAAATGAAGTAAAAATGATTTGAATATTATATCCATAACCAAAATGAATTAAAATTTATTTGTATGTAATTTTAATCTATGAAAAATTAATAAAAACACAACTCAAACCAATTAAGGGGGTGTTTGATAATATAGTTTTTCTGGTGTGGCCATTGTTTTTTATTTTAAAAAACAAAACCATATTAGCCGATGATCAAAATTTTAATACAATATACTTTGTACGGGTGTTTCATATTGTATTTTGGGGTCTAGAAACACCTATTTACAGGTGTTTTGGGACCCCTTTTTCTTAATAAAAGTACTCTTAAAAACATCCCAAAAAACCAAGTTTAAAAAAAAACTAAGAAAAATATAAATATACATAGTTTTTAGTATTGATACACATTGAATCACGATGTTCGAAAACCCCCCTAAGTATATATCAAAAAAACTATATAACTAATAACTAATGAACCAAGTGATAACCAACCAAGTAGTATTTATCAAAATTCAGGAGATTGCTTGATAAAAGCCCTTATCGTATCATGTGTCTTTCAAACAGCATAGGTTTTACCTTAAACATATGCATTTAAATTGAATCAGAATGGATTGTATGAGATCAGATAAAATGAGTGAATTCGATCGGATCAACTTCAATAGGATGTAATTCGAATTCTGAAAATCAGTTAAGGTTTACAGGCTTATAGTACTATTGAAATTATTAAAATACCCTTCATTGTCAGAGAGAGAGAGAGAGAGTTTTTCCAAGCTATCTTACAATGAAGAAACTGGTCCCTACACTCTGGTGAAGCTAGCCCAGTGGTTCAACGTTTAAGCCTTAAAGGCCTCCTTCCTTGGCAGTTGGCACTCACTCTCGTGAGTCGTGACAGTGGCATTGAAGCTCGATCTTGGACTTGGACACAAGTGAGGGTGACTCCAACAGTGTCGAGTACTTGTGGGACCCACGTATCTGAAAACATTAATTAAAATGATTATTGGTTACGCTACACGGCTTCAGGCATAATTATTTGTGACACAATGACACACCTTATAATTTGGATCGTCATGACGTCTCTTCTACCAACTCGTCATCCGTCCTCACACTCACATCCTCCCTGTATTCGAAATATCTTTCGTGAATATTTATTAACAAGTACGGGAGATATTTCCGATGCATGTGCGTACGGGACATATAAGGCGCCAGCGAGACGCTATTTGTAAGGAGCAGATCCAGTCTCTCCGTAGACGTGTAAATCGAGTTGTGTGTCGCCCGCGGCTTAGCATGATTTTGGACATGTTCTGGTTTGGTACAATAGCCCACGGGCCGCGTCAGACTCGGTACGATAGTCCGTACCATGTTGGTCTAGAGTTTGAAGTCCACGGACTGATACTACACGGTCAAGCGGGCTGTGCCACCCGTGGCCCGCGTGTTGATATGGCCCATATATATTATTTAAATTATATATATATATATATAATATTATATTATATAAATTATAATTATATAATAATATATAGTGTATAGTATATTAATAAAATAAATAATTTTTTTCAATTTTATTATACTAACTTATTTAATTATTGTATATATAAGTAATTGTATACATCAAAATTCATATAAAATTAAAATTTTAATTTTTTAAATGAATAGGCAAAAATAGCTTTGGCCCAGTCCATGGCCTGACTTGGGCCAAGGCTTGGCCCATAGGCCAGTCCGGCCCGTGGCACGATACGGGCCCACGCGAGCCTGTGCCGTGAGCCGTGTCGGGCCGACCCCCAAAATTTTCACCGGGGAGGGCGGCACGGCCCATGACAGCCCACGGGCTGCCTGCGGGTCGTGCCATGCAAGCCCGGCACGACCCACTTTACACCTCTAGTGCCCCACCTCAATGGAGTCCAAACTGTTCCTCATACAATGCGCTTCACACTGAATTCACTGCATCTCCTAAATGTACATCGGGAATATCTCATGTATTTATATTTATTATTTGTAGGGAGATATTCTCAATACAGGACAAGATGTGGCTATGAGGTCGGTGTGAGCAGATCCCAATGACAACTATGGGAGATGGTTGGGATGTGCTGTAAGGCGCCTTCTATAAGGTGCAGACTTGAATTCTTTCCTTTTTGTTTGTGGAGGCGTGGTGTTTTATTTCATTCTGTATTAGAATTGAGCTGTGGTCTCTTATTGATATCACATCACAGTGTAAGACCCGTTCAAACTGAGATCGGCTTCAATCAGTGCAAGACCAATTCGAACATGCCTTTATAGCCTTGCATTGGGAACATCTCCATACTTCTGTGTTGAAACTGTGCCTTGCATTGACAGAATTCCAATCCATTCAAACTCTGTTCGAACAGCCTTTACAGCATTGCATTGGGAACATCTCACTGATCTTGTACCGACTGAATCCTGTTTCTCTTACCTAATAAAACACTCTCCAACAAACTACCAAATACCGGCATGATCTAACACTGTACAACACTGTATATCTCCTTCATCTCAGCCTGCATTGAGCATCAACCATCTGGATTATCAAAATGGAATCCACCATATATGAGATGTGTAGTGTCCGATCATATTGATAGTGTCAGAATTTTTAGGCTCAAAGTATATTTGGGGTAGGTGCCAACTTAGAATTGATGCTATTCACGAGCATGCATTGGTGTGTAGAGCGGGCGTATTTGACATTTTGAATATTTATAATTCTGTAGTGGGATTCAAAAATCTGCAATGGGCCTGTTCATACTTCTCCACTTTTTTTTTTATGACATTTTCAAATTTCCAACAAAACAAGATGCTTGGCATTGTCATCCAGAAGGGGTGTTCACGGCATGGTCTTGGAAATGTTGTTAACCTGGATGGTTGGACCGTTTGACCCAGAGACCATCCAAGCAATCGGTTCTGTTTCACCCCTAGAACCATTCTTTTGCCAAAAACGGCTGATTTGGTCAGCAATCTATTGACCTAAATGATCAAATCATCTACCTGTTCGACCTGAATAATGGTTTTGGCTGTTTTTTTAATTTTCTTTTATAAATTACAATGGACCATCCATTTGGATCAGACTATTGAACCGCTGACCTGGAAACCGGTGGCCAAAGAGGTTTCAGGTCAGTTTTTAAAATATTGGCTCACGGTTCAGTTAAATCCTCTGGTGTTTTAATATTTGTGAACCAAAACTGAACCAAGTCAACTGGTTAAACGATTAACAAGTTCAGTTTATTGGTTTTTAAATTTATAGAAAAACATACATAATAGATAATAGATAGATAAATGAACTTAATAGTCTTTCTTTATTCCCCAGGTAAAATTACAGTGACTGTTTTATCCAAAAAAAAAATGTGGTATCATTGAAGGGATAATATTGTTTCATCACGTATTAGCAATTTTCAGTGCGGATGGATAAACAATTTACTTAAATCGTACGAGGGTATTACTTGCCTAGGTAACTAAGCCGCTTAGAGAATCATTCTTTTGCGCAGGACCCACTAATACCAAAATAGAAATACAATTTTATTTCTACTGTCATTAATGAAAATACTTCTTATTTATCATATTTATTTTTGTTTAACAGGATGATGTGTATATATAATATTAGAGATGTGCCCAAATTTTTTTTATAAATTATCTTTACTTCTTGTATTTTTATCCATTTTTTTTAATTTTGGTATTTTACTATAACATCATGGATTAACTTGTTTGAGGCAAATGGTTTAACAGCTAACCGACCACTACAAAAACACGATTTCATTACAAGGACAGCTAAAAAATATACCTTTTTATACTATTATAACTATTGTTCATGTATTTAATTACTGAAATTTAATGATGTAGAGGGGTATTCTAGTTAAGAAAAAATCCAGAAGTTGGGAAGCTATTTCCACTCTTTATTAGTAGTATATAAATATAGATTAAGGGCATCTATTGGAATCAAAGGGTATGTGCTCCATAAATGACTGAATCCAAAATCCAAATCAGCACCTTAAAGAATGATTCCAACAGACATCCAGTTGATTGTAGCCCATTGACGAGTAATCTCTTGGATCCAGACATCCAGTTGCCTGGTTTCACCCCACATTGGTTGTAGCCTTCACCCTACTTAGCTTGTATTTCAACCAGTGTAAATTTATTTCATTACAATCTTGTATCATGGTTATGGCCTTATGGGAGCTACTCTCCTGGTTGTAAAGCCTAAACGGTCCTCTTGAGGATTAAACATGGGTTGCGTGGCCATGTTTTCAACAGCTCGTTCCAACTACGCTCCTTCAATGAAGGAGACAAATCAATTCAAAGAATTAGGCCAAAAATTGGGTTCTGAAGACTGAAATGGACAGTTCGGTTTTGATTTTGAAATCCTCTATTTCTTGAGGGCCAATAAATGCGTTGAATCGACTCCGGATCACCTGCCCATTAGAAATTTGCTCACGTCTACCCACAATACATTGGATAATACTATGTAGGAGGATGAGATATTCTCCATGTATGACTGCGATATTATGTGGGTAGATGTGGGCAGAGTTTGTGTGGACAAGAGATCCGGACTCCGTTGAATCATGAATGTATTTTTTCATGGAGTTTGTGAACAATAACAACTCTTAACACAAAACATGTATGTCTTCGTGATATTAACTAAAAGTTTATTGCTTTGATGGGTCAGTGTTATAAAGAATCACGCTGAGACTCACCATCTCTCTCTGTGGTCTATGTTGGTACACGCATCCATTCGAGATGCTACAATCCAAATACAGGCATAGACTAGTTGAGACTTGAGACTTCCGTTTACAGATTAAGAATCCATTTGGAAGGGCTGAGCCATTTTCCAGAAGCTATCTATAAATTCGATTTTGCAGCTTCTGTAAACCTATTTTTCACTTTCCGGGTTTTTACCAGACAGGTTGCTCAGCTCATGCTCTTGTAATGTCAGAAGCCGCTACGTGAAACCCCTCCCAAAAAGGCACTACCAAAGGGCTGTCAATAATACACGTAGGCACAAATAGTTGCTTTTGTTCTAAAATTCAACTTACTGTTTTTTCTATCTTTTTGGTACGACAAGTTGTCAATGGATTTTTTATATCATATAGTAATAATATTGAAACAATAAAATCTGATACGTATCGTATGATATGGCAAGGTTCAAAAAATCATTATGTATCAGCCAATATGTATGTATCGAGCCTTTTCCGATACGCCCCTAAGAGGTTGCATCAGGTCAGGGCCTGGTTCAGAGGGTCGTTGGAACTTAAACCGACCTCTCTGAACCAAAATCGGAAAAAAAAAAGTGGAAGTAAAAAAAAAAAGGGGGCCGATACTGACCGATACGCCCTCGATACTTTGAACCTTGCGATACAACAGTGCTTTGCTTTTGAGTTTCCATTTCTATCGAGCAACAGTGCAATATCTCTTCATGAAAACATTGGGATGTGCATTAAGATACACATGGCTGGAAAATATATATAAAAAACACTGAATATTTATCTGGAGTGTGAATTATTGGGAGACACTTGGAAAACATTGAAAAGTATTAACTCACACCACCCAAAATATAGAAAGTTTGCAATAGGTAGGATTAGAATTCCACCTACAAAGACTATTCCACCATGTTTGATCTAGAATTTCCCATGGTATTCTAATTCAGTATCCATCTTTACTTGACCAAGGAAACTGGAGTGCCTACTAAAATGATGCATCAGAACAAACGTATTAGCATGATTGACTCAAGTATTATGGGGAGCCCACTCTGTCTAAACTCATTCCGATTTGCCTGGACACAAAAATAAAGGATACGATGAACTACTTTCTCCTTGTCAAACGAATGATCAGCCACTCAGCAGCTCAGTAGTTATGTCATCATAACCACAAGGATGAACTGGAACGATCCTCAACTGGAAATGGTTTTGAAAGTTGCTAGATTGGAACTCAAGGTAAATAGTCCAAATAGGACTAAAAAGAGCTCGTCTCTGATTTTCTTTTTTTAGAATATGGAGTATGAGGTCTTGAATATGTTAAATCCAAACCTTGCATGACAGAAATGATTCTCCATCCCAGCTTCTCATCAAGAGTAGACCACCTGCAGCAAAAATGTACTGCAGGTTTATCTTCAATAACCTCCTTGACTTTGTATGGGCAGTTCGCATCTGGGCAAACATGGACATGGAATGACTGCAGCTGTAGATTGTCAGGAAATTCTAGGATTTTTTCACCTGGAAATTTGTTGGAGAGTTCTACAAATAAAAGGTGGAGCCACAAAAATTGTTCAGAAGAAAGCAAAATGTTCTCCAAAGAAGGATCTGCAATTTTTATCGATGAACTTGACATGGCACATGGCTGTAGAGAAGTGGAAAACCCAACAGGCTCTGATGATTCACTCCCATGTTCATGTGATTTGGAGTTATCCACGTTTCTTACATGTACAGGACAGCAGTAAGCAAACTGAACTTGGTGTTCTTCCACTCCCAACATTGGCAACAATTCAGACTGGTGTACAATCTGTGCTTTTTTCATTTTCTCCATAACCAGGATTCCTTCAGATACCTTGTGTCCTGTCTGCACCATTGGAAAGGACTCAGTATTTGATGAACCGACATCTAATTTACCTTCTACACAGTTCTGTATAGACTTGAGATTTGGAATCAAGCAATTCTGGACAAATTTACATGTGGCATCCACTTTCACATACTGAGTTGATGGAATTTGCACTGTATCATTATTTGCAGGATAGAAACACTCAATTCCTAATTCAGCCTGAATTCTCCCTTTCAATGAGGCCATCTTAGGCTTCTCACCATGTACAAGAATCACATGCTTTGGGGAGAGAAATTTGACAAGATCCATAATCCCTTTGGCATCTGTGTGAGGACTAAAAGAGAGCTGATGAATCTGTATTACATAAAAATTGCTCAGAACTGTAAATAATTATCAAAATTGCTCAACAATGAGCAGGATGTTTTGGTCAGTGGAAGAAGTATCAGCTTCAGCTTATTCAAGTCATTAATTCAGTTGCAGTTTCTTTTAAGTTATGTAAGCTAAAAATGTTGAATTTTATGGTATTCCTGAAGTTGTATGTCCAAAGTTGATAGAAATCCAGGGCGGATGCATGGTTGATCAGTATACAAGGAACTAGGACTACACCTATTAAATGCAGTGTAAATTCCTTCAGAACTCAACTGCACTTCAATATGGTTACTACATCTACTTCAGGTACTTATATTTTTAGCATAAAGTCATATCGATGCTTTGTTCTAGGTAACAGCCAGCAGGTAATATAGATGGGAAGAAATGGTGGCAGCGGCTGATTAATTTCTAGTTTCTCCAATTTCATTGAAAAGTAATGACTAGATTCTCAATATTTTCTCTATCTCCATATGGACCATTAGATTGGAGTATTAGGTCAGGTTTTACCTTACATGCATATATGAAGATGAGGTGATGATGATGATGATGGTGATGGTGATGGTGATGGTGCTGGTGGCAGTGGTAGTGGTGGTGTCTGAGAAAGGAGGAGGAAGAGGTGGAGGCAGTGACAGCAGATGAGAAATTTTTACTCTCAACTATTTCATTGAAAAGTAATGACTAAATCCTCAATATTTTCTGTTTCAGCAAAAAACAAGTGATGCTGGATAATAACCATAATACATGACTAAAGAGGTTGAGAATGTATACAAACCTGGCATCGCACATCAATTTGAGTATCTTTATCCAAGTCAATTTTGGTGGGTTTACCTGACATCAACTTATGTCCTATTGTTCCAGCCACACAATACCTATAAAATGAAAAGAAAAAATAAGATGGACAGTTGAAAGCAGTCCAGGATTCATGCTTTGCATTTTAATATTTTCAGTTGAGAAACTTGGAAGCTGGCTAACAATTTCTAGCTGAAACCACAAGGTGCTAAACATAGAACAAAGATTTACTGATCAGGTTTACGGGAAAATAGCTTTAAGGCATTTCAATTTTATTTTTCTAAGGGAAGTAATATTGGCATTTTCCCATGTCTTGACTTGTATAGGTACAAATAAGTTATTTATTTGTCCTTTCACCAGGGATTTGCCCAGTTTATCAAAAACTTGATGTATCCAAAGCAGTCTCCTTTCTTTAACTCAAAATAATAATAATAATAATAATAATAATATCACAAATTCATTAAACTAGTAAATAAGCAATGTTTACTTGAGAGTGTTTTGAGATGCAATTAAGAATACTATAGCTGTTGGACCATAAATAGGAAAGTTATAGAAATTTCAACAATGAGAAATTAGATGGCAGACAGACAAATAAAAAGAATGAATAAATAAATAATTGCTGCATGCATAATTTACGAGTATAGGGAATTCTTGGTGACAGTAGGGATCCTAGTCACCTAGGCACATAGCTGCCTGTCTAGGTGTCATCTACACAATAGAATTTTCGAAAGAAAAAACACCTAAATTTTTGGTTGATTTCCTAGTTTTCTATACCAAGTAGCAAGCTTACAAACTGAAAAAAAGCAAAGTTCTTAACTAAATGATCATGCATATCATATAGAAATGGTAATTCGTTATATTCAGAAGGCATTAGCATTTTAAACAACATAAATTTCAATACTCCAAAAGCTATTACAATACAATAAGTGTGTAATAGAGAAATATGTACATATCTTATAATATGTGGACGTAATTATTCACAAGTATCATGTAGTTGCATGTTAATTGGAACAAAAAATTAAATCAAGAAATTATTAATTTAAAACTTGCACCAGATTTCAATAAAAATGATATTTTAATAAGTTCTTGTCCAAAGGAGAACACATGCACAAACAAGGATTAATAGCCATGCTTTTAGTTCTACATACACTCTTACCAACCCAAAATGGGTTACATTCATGGATATCTATATATTCCGACCACTAAGATGTTAATACCCATACTTCTTGCCTAGTTGATCACCTTGGTGGTTGGCCTCATACATACACAATTGCCTAGGTGACACTTCAATTACATTGCATCTAATAATTACACTTGAAAGACAATAAGTGTAAGAATGATCAATAATAAAAAGTACCCAGGCAGTGTAACAAGATTTATTTCAGATGGAGCCCACTCCTTGAATACTTCAAGTGAAAAACCACCACTGATCATCCCAGGTGTAGCAAAGAGAACACAAGGTCCAGGGGCATTTATTAGAGATCGCTCAAAACTGCGAACTGAAATGCACATAGACCTATAAGTGAGTGACAAAGTAACGAGTCAAAAAGTAATGAGATCAAGATCCTTTTTTTTTGGTTAATTAGAACTGTATGAGAACTACTGAAAACCAATGAACACATATACTGCTTTCGTTTATAGACATAACAGCTATTAAGAAAGAAAAGAAAGAGAACAAAATTTCAATACTTAAGCAATGTACATTGTTGCAATCCCATAAATTAAAAGTTGTGTATCTTATCAAAAGAAGAATGTCTGTAAAAGTTGCATAACAGTTAGAAACACAAAAGGATGGAAGCCTTCTATTCTGAGATTAAAGATAATTCTAAAACTTCATGATATTAATTGTTTCATATTCCACTATCCCAGATGAACACTTTGTGTAACATTCCAAAAAGCAGCAAATTAAGTAAACAATATTTCTAGTGCTTTGCAGACACAACATGCACTCAAGGAACTTGTCCGCAATAATGATATAGTGATATACTGAATATGATTGATAACTTGTAACCTTATTAATTGAAAAGGAATTCTTGATTATGAACTGTGGGTGTCTTGAACCCCAAGATATTTTTAGATTATATCAGATGACTAACCCATAGCATTAGCATCCACAAATGGCATTCCTGAAAACGATTATCCCTATAAACCCCTTGTTTGGCTATAGCATCAGCCATACAGTTTGCCTCCCCTTTTGCCCATAAAAAGGCACATTGCTATAATGATCTTTATATCTACTTTACAATTTGTACCCACCTTTTTCTTTTTCTTTTTTTTGATGAATGAGTAAACAACGTTACTATAGATTGGAAAGGAGAATACAATCAGCCTAGGAGGAGGCAGAAGATGCTACCCACCCTTAAATCATCATTAAAGAAAATTCATTGATATGTTACTAATGTAACATTTGTTGACAAGACGAGAGAAAAGGAGGTAAAACACAGTACTTTGATAGCAGAAGTGCATATATCTCAGTCTAATTAGCCATGGGAACAGAAAGATTAAGAAAGATCTGGGGCTCAGTGGCTGAAGAAGATATTTCATTTCTCGGTGCTATAATATTATGTGAGTAATGAATATCAAACTTTAACACAGAATTTAATAAGACAAAATGACTAAATGAGACTGACCACATTTTGAGAAGAGAGAAGAGGCAGCCACCCTCTCTAGAAGCCTCCAAATCAAGCAGGACTTGAATCGCCCCTTACAAAAATCTCCAAGGAACCCTAAAAAATTAGGGCACCACTTCCTAGGTCAAAAATGAAGAGTCCAACAGAAAAAGGAAAGAGGGGGAAGATGAAGATTTTAGCAGTCAACCAAGACTGTAAATTTTTTCCCTAGCCGCCTACCTCTCATTATATTTATACTTAACTTAAAATATGAGATATTACAAGGATACTCTTAGTAGGGCGGCTACTAAAATAGCTGAACAATTACAACTTAAAAAACATAAACTAATGGGCCTAAAGCCCAACAACTTCCTAACTAAATAAAAACAAACCAGACCAACTCAACATGTTTTAACCATATAAGAACAGGGGCTCTACCCCCCTTCTTCTTCTTCTTCTTCTTCTTCTTCTCTATTTTCAACTATTTTTTAAACTCTAAAACAGAGCTCCACGCACTCTCTAAAACAGAGGCTCCAACCTCTCTTTTTTTTGTTTCATTATTTTTTTCTTTCTTTTTTTTTATTTTCCACCATGAACTGTGAATCTATGATCAGTTTTTTTCTCCATTTAATCACTTTTTGGCATTTCCTTGAGATTTCTTTTTTTTTCATTGTTTTTTACACTATAACAGGGGCTCTGCCCCACATCTTTTTTTTTTCATTCATCAATATCAACTTTTTAATTCTGTTTTATTTCCAAAATAGGGGCTCGGCCTCATTAATTTTTTTTTTAATTTTATCTGTATCTGATTTTGTTTTTTAGCCTAAAAACAGGGATATAGATAACCCTATTTTTTTATTTTTTTCTTTCATGTTAGTATATTATCATGTTAATTGATTTATTAATTGTTTATTGTTAGCACTTAGCAGTTAGCTTTGTTAATCTATTTGTTAGCATTTAGATTTTAGCAGTTAGCTATATTAGTTCATTTGTTTTAGTTCATGCAATATTTTTGTTTATTGATTATTAATTTAGTTTTCCTTCTTTTTTATACAACTAGATAAGGAAGAAGGCAATACTTCTCATGAAAGTAATAGGAGAGATCCAGCATTGAAGTATTGATATCTACAAGACCCTAATAATGCAAACTCAGTCACTTGCAAGTTCTGTGAAAAGGTAACTAATGGAGGAATATATAGGGCAAAAGTGCATATTGTTGCTGGTAGGACGAATGTTAAAGAATGTACCAAATGCCCTAAAGAAGTTAGAGAAGAAATTTTATCATATATGCAAAAGAAAAGAAGTGTAAACGAAAACATGGTGGTGGAAGAAGTGGATAGGATTCCTGATTTTGATGATCATGAGGATATGATTGAAATTGAAGAAGATGATGATGGACAACAATACAAGTTCATGGTGGTGACAGGCATCAAGGAAAGTGGAACTTTGAGAATTCAGATATCTTCCCTGTTAAATCTCTTTGCAACAACCTGACAAGGGAGGAAGACTTTAATTTCCAAAATAATAGGATCTGGATTGGGAATGTACTGTCTAAAATGGGTTTCTTTGTCTGGTCTGCAGTCCTGGATAAAATTCTTACAAAGGAAAACCTAGTCAAAAGAGGTATACAGGTGCAGGATGAGAGGTGTGTTTTGTGCAATAGAAGTATGGAAACCCCAAGTCATCTACTGATTCATTGTGAGTTTGCTGACTTGGTTTGGAGATGTTAGAAATTTGGGTCTTGTGTTTTCCAGCTGATGCAAAGAGCTTCATGAGTGCTTGGTGGCTGAAGGGGTTAAGTAAGGCTGGCAGAGTTGCTTCGAACATCATTCCTGCAGTAGTTTTTAGGGCTTTTTTTTTTTTGGTCAGTAGTTTTTAGGGCAATTTGGTATGAAAGAAACAACAAAGTATTCAAAGGGAGGCAGAATTCAAAAGAGGAGGTTTTCAAAAAAGTTTTGGGCATGTTGTTTTCATGGTTGGCAAATCACTCTCTGTTCAAATTCAGAATTTCAAACATACAAGTTCTTTTTTCAATAGAGATTTTCTTTTTGTCAGGAATATGTAAATTTCTTGCTGGTTGGGTTTATTGTAAGTGGGTCTGTTGGGTTTTCCCTAGTACAGATTCTCTCTGTACAGGGATTCTAGGTTGATTGTATATCTTGAAACCTTTTGTTTTATTTTAATACAACACTTTACCTTTCTCAAAAAAAAAAAAAAAGAAATATATATTAGTAGAGAACTTAATATCTCTCTTCTTCCTCATCAACCATTTTCAAACTGAGTTGTTTTCTCTGTGCTCAAAGCCACCCAAACCCTCCATCCATAACTCCTCCCTCCTGTCTTTGGTCACCTTTGCTCTGATCTGCTTCCCATTGAGATTTTTTACCTCATAAAAAGAACCAAAAAATGAACTCTTATCTTTCATATTGAGAATTGCAAGTTCTGATCAAGGGCTAAGTCCATTCCCATATGGCTGCAAATGGATAGGAATAGGATTAAATTGGATATACCTAGATCAGAATTTGATTCAAATAGAATTCCGATCACAATCGCATATTGAACATTGATAAACTGAACTACAATTATCAAAATATTATATATTATTAACAAAATGCACTAAAAATGACATTGATATTGTATATCATGGACAATATGAATTGAAAATAACTTATATAAAACTTAAACCTCTGACTCTTTAGTGAGAATATAACATTTAAACCAATTTTAATGACAGATACAATATAAGGATCACATCAGATCAGACAGATAGGGATCAATCCCATTTAATCCAATTATAAACAGATGGATCACAGATACCCTTAACCAGATTGAACTCAAATTCAAATTTGAACAAATGGATAGTATTTGCAACTCTACAATCTACATTCTCATCTATCAATCTCCCCTTTGATTGTTGAAGGGATAAGATCATTACCAAAATACCCTCTATTAAACTCTAATTCTAAAACAAGACTCAGTCCAATTGGTTTCCAACTAATTGCTCCAGTTTTTCTGTTTAACCAAAACCAAATGTAGAAAAGGGTCAATCATTTAACCCGCATCTCCCCTCCCAAAACTGTGGTCCAACCCAAATGAAAAGTCAAAGTGATTGTGTAAGAGCATGGGATTAGCAATCCTGAATTATAAGCAGAGATTAGGCAACCACAACTTGCAACCCAAAGTGTGATGCAAGCTAGGYGTGTCGTATCACAACATCAAACTTGGCCAAACATCGAGCTATTTTACCAAATACTCAAATTGCAAGTTTTAAGGCAAACAGCTGGCCAGATCACAGGCAATTAAAACACGAGCGCCAAAGACTGGGGAAAGGATGCCATAGTTCATGTCTTTGTGTGCACACATTGGGAAAGGAGTATCCAAGTACCAAAACCCATGATGACACGTGATGACTTCTAACTAACCCAGATGGGGCATATTGGCTTAATTAGAAGCAACCTTCTAAAAAGGAAGCCAAAAATGAACTCCCCAAAAGGAAAAGGTCCTTGGGGAAAGCTATAAATAGGAGGATCTCCAAAAGAGGGAGGCCCTAACAAAATTCACACACTATCCTTGTGAGTCCCCTAAGAGTTCCTGCCCAAGAGTCCTCTTTTCCCGCTTCAACTCTCTCATATCTCAGATCTAAGATCCCCCTTCTCTGCTACCTCTGACCACCCATCTTGCAAGCTAATTGGTTATCCTTCCTACAGAGACCTTCTCAGTGCCAATCCCACCCTCCTACAGATTGCATTCCCTTCTCCTAGCAAAATATCAATAATTCCTATCCCTTCGAAGTATCAAGTGAGAAAATATTGATGGAACATTAGAAAATGATATGCAATGCAGAAAAGATAGGCAAAATAAAATTTCAGAAGAAAACCTTAAAAAAAAAAATAGATCTGAATCATTCTTTCTTTTGATCTATACTACAAGCTTCATGAAAAATTGAAAATGACAAAAGTGCCCCTAAAACTCATGTGACTCCCCTGAGAGATTGCTCTATTAGGAAGGGAACTCCATGACACCTGTGTATTACCTCAGAAATTATATCATGGAATTCACCTTGTAATGTACTTGACACCTCCTTCCAACTAACCAAAAAATAAAGAATAAAATAATATCACACTTTAGTATCACTACTGACTGACTTATTCTCATACTTGAACAACCCTAGACATAAAGAGTTGAATGAATAACGAAAAGAAGATAGAATACTTCAGTGCAGAACAAAGGTCAATGCAAAAATGCTTCCTTTCTTGAGCATCTCCATGTAGTTCATGCTTGCCATGAAACAACATCCAGTGAGAAGGAAAAAGTACTGCTTGAAGTGGACAATATGATGCATCATTCACTAGCTCATAAAGATGCATTTAAAAATATATTAAAACTCTTATAAAAGGATATAGATCTCTATTAACTTGTAACAAACACTACAATAGGAATACCCAAATATATTATCACATGCTGGTAATGTAAAACACTACTAGTGTTGATAGAAATAAAAGATATACACAACAGAGATACCATGCTTGAAGTCAAAGGCATTTCGTGTTGCATATGTATCTTTGACCTTTTGGCTAGTCCACCCAATAAGCATCTTATAGTACATATTGGCTTGAATAGTCAAACCTGAAATGCATCAGATCATAAATACCAGGGACCATTACATAAACAGTTATACCATTAGTAAAAATGGAAATATACATATTAAAGTCGCAAAAGCAAGATTCCATGAGCACCTAAAAAAGGAATCAATTCCCAGTGATGTGTATCACATAAAAGAAGATTACCACTGAAGCAGAGTGCTAATACAAATAAGGCTGTAAGTGGGTTAAGTTTGCCCTATAGACACAATGCACTTCAACTACATCACTGTAGAGGCCCTCTGGAGTAGCCTGGGTTCTATTCCATAGGTCTGACAATAATTGGATCAGCACCATGTCAACCTGCTCAGGCTTGTATAATTCAATAACTGCTGGATGTGATTCCCAGAGCCACATGAAAAGAAACAAGCAGTGGTTTCATGCTAGGTACTCGGTCACCAGTAACAGACACATTCTATGAAAATCCATAGTGCACTAGCCCACGAGCAGTAGTTTTTGGTCATGCTTCATTCTATAACACTTACAAAAAAAAAAAAAAAAAAGATTAAGCATTCAATCATATGATTGTAGGATTGGGAATAAGCAGCAAGGGCTGCTAAAAATTACCAGATGAACCTAACTGTTACCTTCCACAGGTGGATAGTCTTATCGATAAACTTCATATCCCTCTAACATAGAGGAAGCCAGCATAGAATTGGGAGAGATCTCAGAATCAACTGCAATATCATTGCCCAAGACTTCTTATATTTACCTTCCAGAATCCAATCTTACTTCAATCACTTCAAACATGAACTCTTGCCGGCTTAAAATAAATATATACACTAGCTGACTCAAAGTTCAACCAATGGTAATACAAAGTTCATACAATTCTTACTCTTTAATCCATATCAATTCTTTGGGAGGATCTAGAGATAGCTTCATTAAGAGAATCAACTTTTTCCAGAGGGAAATACAAAAGAAAGACTACAAGTGTCCTGGATATTTTTAAAATGGAATGTCAGAACCTCAGATATAACTCAACTTCAAAAATCTTGGACTCCAAAGTAGTCAACATTTTAAAGCTCTAGATTTACTTTAGTACCTTCCTTGTCACATCCTAAGACAAAGGAAAGCAAAAGGGAGGGGAAACACTTGGCCAGAAAGACTTCACCGACTTGCTAAATGGCCTGCAGATTTACTACAAAGGTGCCCTCGAAATTTCCCATTACCAAGCATACTTCCCTTCTCTCTCTCTCTCTCTCTCTCTCTCTCTCTCTCTCTCTCTCTCTCTCTCTCTCTCTCTTTTCAGAAGAGAATGGGTGATGTTTGTCCAACTGTAGACTTAAATCTGTTAATGAGAAATATGATAAGAGAAGGGTCACTATAGCTTAAGAGAAGAAGGTTGAGAAATGAGATCCAATATATAGGACAGAGGCTTCTGTAGGATGGAATGAACCAACGAAGAATTATCCAATAGCAAACTTATAAGGAATAAAGCAAAAATTAAAGGGAAAAGGAACATTTAAAGAAAGCCACACAAGGATCAGAAGAAAGGTGAGAATCATATAGTTGTCACAAAGAAGAATGGTTACAGAAGATAGCAGAGATCCAAAGGAGGGAGTGTGAGGAAGGCGACAATGGGAGAGGAGAGAAACTTCAGGCCGGCGGGGAAATGGCAATTGGAGATGATCATTGAAGCAAAAACTTCCTTTTCGAGCAGGGAAGGACAAAGGGGAAGGTTTACCTGAAAATCAGAGAAGGTAGCAGGGTGACGATTCTTCTACCAGAGGAAGCGTGTTATTGGTTGAAAGGATTTGTTGATGGAACTGTTAACACCATACGGGAAGAAGGATGGAGAAATTCGGTGATCTGTGGGGCTAAGAGATTTGAATCAGTACTAAAAAACAATGGAAGAGGGTGGTTTATCCTGGTAACAGAGCATTTTGGCAACAACAAAAGGCAAGTATTATGTATACCGGAAGGACAGAAGGGGCGAGTATGGTTTTCTTTTGCTCTTAATCTTCAGGCATTTCTCATAGAAGTTGAGGGGAGAGTGGCAGAAGAACCTGATAGGAGCCCAATGGAATGTAACCCAACCAATCTGTGCGCCCCAGTATTGGTATCTAGTTCAATTGAACATCAGACAATAGCACTTAAAAAGGGAGAGGTATTAGGGAGAACAGGATGGTATTAATGGCAGACAGGGCAATAGAGGACTGGACGAAGATCTTAGAAGCAGTTGCAGAGAGACTGGACCTAGAAGAAGATGCAGTTTTATTACTGTTCACTGAGAAGAAAGCCATTTTAGATATTGGCGACAAGAAACTGAACTTTAGCACAGTCCAAATAGAAGGTAGACTGATACAGATACAGAACTGGGCTCCAGTTTGCAATGAAGTAGAGCCAAGAGAAGATAGCTTCTTGATCAAACTTCTAGGACTTCCCTTCAATCTATGGAACAAACCAACTCTAAGGAAAACCGTCAGAGCTCTGGGTGGAGTTCTGCTGGAGGTTAAGGAACCTACGAACCGTGGAACTAAAGGTTGCAGGGGTTAAACCAGAAAACCTGCCTCGTTCTTTCGAAGTGCACTCAGAAGATGCACGGTACAAGGTCTGGTTGGCCTCAGAAGCTGAGTCGTCGCTCTGGAGAAGACGAACAGAGGTCAGAGGCGAAGAGGAGTCTACAGGATGGTGCCCACATGGCTCTCAGGGACTGGCGGGGAAGCCTGTAGCGCGTGGGAAAGTGAAAGAGGAAGGGCAACAATCGCAGGGGTGCCTCAAGTTCCGAAGCCTTCCTAATAAGGCTATTAATTCAAATTCTTTTGAAGCAGGGATGAGTAATGAGGGGGGTGGCCAATCCTATGCTGATGTGGCCAGAAGGGGAAAGGTTCGGGCGGATTCTATTAAAAAGACTGTCTGAACCGGTCAAAAGGAAGATCGAACCGGCTGGAATTATGGGTGAGCCAACAAGGGAACTCGTTGGTATTATTAGAGGCCCACGTGACAACTTAAGTCATCACGTGGGACGGGGAAAGGTTTGGACGGCAATAGATGAAATTTCTCATCTATCATCGTCTAGTCTCGTTCGGCCGAATGTGTAGAGCTTCAGAAGGCGAGAACGGCAGGGGAAAACCGACCTCTGAGCTGGGTAAGTCGACCAGCTGGCAACGAGCAGAAATGCCACGGTTTTGATCGCCCGAACCCGCGCTACATGAGAAACAGAACAGAAGAGAGCGAAGAGGCAGACCAAGGGAGGAAAAGCTACAGTTCAGAGTATGATTGCGATGAAAACTCCGAAGAGTGTGAGAGTTTAGGCAGTGTGGCAGATGAATAACCTTCTAAAGATCAGAAGAGGGAGATGTTCAATCTGGAACACCTGTTCATTGGGGATACGGTGAGGGAACAAAAGGAGGAGAAAGAGGTACGGGTGAATGAAACAAATATTTGTAAACGGATGAACCCCTCCAAGTTCTAGTGCATTGCAAGAGGCCGAAAAGGAGTTAGCTCGGGCTTACTCAGGTCTCAACAAGAGTACAGCACAGAGAGGTTAACAATTGGGTACCGGAAGAGGTCTTTGTGTAGATCAAGTGATAGGGAATAATTTCCCCCAAACCGAGGAGACAAAGTGCTCCACGTTCTCAAAAAAGGAAGTGACAATCAACTATCCTCATTTGCATACTCTTCACAACCCTCAGTTGACCTCAGGTAAATTTTTCGACTATCAATTCAATTTTTGCTATTGATGAGTGTTCTGTGTCGCTTGTTCTAAATTATTCCCTTCTCAACCAAGAGTTGGAGGCCCATGGTTAGAAAGCCACAGTGAGAAAACATACAGAGAGACAAAAAATTGGGAAATCATTGAGAGTTTAATGGGTGAAGTGGAGAGGAACTGCAGAGGGGGGTTATAGAGGGAACAGAAAGGGTTGTTGGTGGAGGTAATGAAAGAAACGAGAAGATTCCTAGGAGTTAAGGGTTTAAATAGATTTTGGAGGAGTTACGGTTGAGTTTAAGAAGTTAAAATGAGAATCATAAGTTGGAATGTGAGAGGATTGAGCACTATTAGAAAGAGAGCAACAATTAAAGAGGTGATTAAGAAGTTTAACCTAGATGTGGTAATGTTTCAAGAGTCCAAAAGAATGGATTTTGATTGCAGATGGGCAAAGAGTGTGTGGAGATCTAGGGGGATAAAGTGGATAACTACTCATTCGTGGGGATTCCTAAGGTGGGATTGTGACATTGTGGAGAGAAGAAATACTAATCAGTGTGGAGTAGTTAATAGGAGATTATTTTGTCTCCCTAAAGTTCAGACAGGTGGATGGCGGGTATGAATGGGTACTAACAAATGTATATGGCCCCAATGACTATAGGACATAGTTTCAAATGTCGCCAAATGTCGCTAATGTCGTCCAACATATGTCGATGTCAAGGCTCACCGATATGAAAATGGATGGTAATATAAAAATTACATTATGTTGGTCGACATTTCCTATATTTCATAAATGTCAACCAAATTGGTCCAAATAACCAAAAAAAATACAATTTTTCCTATTATGTCGACAAGATGTCGACTAATGTACATTAAAAAAATAATATATTAGTATATTATGTTAATATAATACAATATTATAATATAGATTATTCCATTAATATTTCTATTTAATATTTCAAATAAAATATTTATAAGAAGAATTAACAAAATATAAAAACAAAAGAATAAATTAATTACTTTATAATATAAAAAATAAAATATTTTTCAAGTAATAAAATATTAACTAGTTAGTGTTTTTTAAAATATTTATTAAAATCAGAAAATGTTTATTAAATTTTATAGTAAACCATATTCTACATTTAATATAAAAAATCAGAATAAATTTTATACTAAATCATAATTTATTATAAATTTAGTGTTAAAAATCATAATAAATTCATTAAGTTATATAAGAAATCATAATTTATCATAATCTTAATACTACAAAAAGGAGAATCAGTTTATTAAATTTATAATAAAACATAATGTATTATAACTTTAATATTTAAAAAATCAGA